GCTCTGTGTTTTTGTGCCATTGCCAGTAATTTTCTTCCTGTTGTCATTTCCTGTTGTCATAAGCAAAGCTATTTCAGTCAAACGTTTGACTACTATAAGATGCTCAAATAAATGCTTTTTGTCTAAATGTGCGAAGAGATTAAAGACATTTCTCAAACATTTCTCTTGCTTATAATCTTTAATTAGAAAAGAGAAACTAATCAAATGTAAACTTTTGTTCTATGATACTGTTGTTAATGTCTGGTTTTGTTCTGTATCTCTTCTAGTCCTGGCTATGAGGGTGACAGCATCTCCTCAGGTGCATTTGGAGCAGGCTACAGAAAGTCACTTACAAACTCAGTCGAGGGCTCACTTCAGCAGGCAGCCAGTGAAGTACCACAGACAGGGTTCAGCAGGAGCGCAATTATGCAAAGCAGGCTCTCAGTCATGGGACGAGGATAATTCTGGGAGCAGGGAAGGAGTTGTTTCAAGAAGCACAGACAGCAGTCGCAGCTCCTCTCCTGAGCCCCAGACCCCAATGAAAACTCACTGCCTACTAGATGAGACCCCCATCCCGCAGAATAAGACTGCATACACCTCTGAGACTGCACCTCATGCAGGGGTAAAAAGAACTGTATCGGATGAGGGGGTTAAAGCAGTAGCTTCTTCGTTCAAAGAACATGTGGGACAAATGGGAAAACGAAATTCCAACCAATCAAACAACACCCTGGGGGGGAGAGAGCGCCTGATCCGATCCTTGAGGAGACGTCCGACGGAGGAGAAAACGACCCAAAAAGTTCTGTCCGGACTGAAGCTAAAACGCAGTGATTCAGGGAAGGGCGAGCTGCTCCATTTTGTTTGACAGTGATTGAAACTGAACTAAAATGTTTACTTAATTTCTGGGGTTCCTTAAATTCACTGAAATGCATCCCATTTCGGGCTTTAAAGTATTTTTAGTATGAACTGCACATTTGTAGTTTTCCTGCTTTGTGGCACATGACGTAAGCCTATGGTACAGATGGTAGTTTACATTCTCACTAGAAATTTGGCACAAAATTGACCTGTGTATATTTGAGATGCATAGACAGCCTGTCTTGTATAGATGTTTGATGCTAAATCATGACTCCTTTGGGATATGCAATATATGGAAACAAAACAAAAAACTGGCTACTTGCTGTTTTCAGATTCTTTCAAACCACACTATTTTTAGTGTATTTACATCCTTAACCAATGTCTGTTTCCAGCATTTTTATATTTTATAAATCTCAATAATAATAATACTAATAATAATAGGCTAATTCATGTTTAGTCAGATTTGGTCTACTCTGTAATAACTTTAGAACGCCACTAAAATGATCAATTAAATCATGTTTAACAGATCTTTAGTTTTAAAGTTGGAAATTAGTTAGCCTAGTAGTTAAAATTTTCATAAATTCAAGTTCAATGAATTCAAGTTCTTGCATATCGCCTCAGTGAAATAGTGAAATTCGCCTCAACAGTCTTTATTTAATTCGTTTAAACTGTCACCGTCCCACCTGTGGGACGTTTGGCGCTCTATTTTTTGTTGTCTTTTGTCTCTATCAAATCTTTTAGTAATCATCATAAATCATACATCATTTGAAAGCTTAGAAGCCCAAGATTCATCCTGTGAAAACCATTTCGAAATCAGACATTGCCTTACCATGGAAATGGAACTTTAAAATCTTTTGGCGGTCTCCTCCCCCTTAGTGGGCAGTGTCATATTACAAAATGAATTACGGTCTTTTAAAATCAAAACTTTTTATAATCTTGACAAAAAACATATCATTGGAAAGGTCTGAGTCTCAGGATTCCATATTTGGTGGTTACTGACAGAGAAATCTAGACATTTGTGACAGAAAAATGCATTAAAAAAAATTCAATGGAGTTTGGATGGCACCCGGTGGCTGTTTGTGGTATAACACCCTAAATAAAATCTCACAGGAACCTCAATTTGTTTCATATCAACTTCAAATTTGGAACATAACTTATTTAGACATAAAGCTATAATTTTATACCAATTTTAGAGTAAA